TACAGCAACGTGCTGCTGCCGGAGAGGAAAGGATTGAGTATAGCAGTTCCATCTATCATGAAATGATGTCAACCTATGCGTCACACGGTGCACCAGAGAAGGCAGAAGAAATGTTGGACGAACTTTGCCAAACTGTTTTGGATGGCACTACTGACAATAACCAAAGCAACCTGGAGGTCAACAGCAGGTCTATGAACATGGTCTTATCCGCGTGGGCAAGGGCCAACAATCCAGACCGGGCCGAAGCCATTTTGAAGCGTATGATTGACTACCGTGATCGCGGTCTGTCTGGAATGGCTCCAATCGCCATGAACTACATGCGTGTGATTGAGTGTTGGAATCGATCCAGTAGCAGCAACCCATTGGCAGGGGAACGAGCTGACGATCTTTTGAAGCTAATGGAGAACGATGCGCAACGAAAGTCCAAGACTCACATGTTCCTGGCCAATAAAGGATTGTACTTGGCGGTCATGAAACGATTGGCCCAGTTTGGATCCGGAGAGCGTGCCGGGGAGTTGCTTCGCCGTGTACAAAGCCTCTTTGAGGACGAGAAATCGAACACGGCCATTGATCAATTCCTGTACCGTGAAGCAATTTTGGCATGGAAGAATTCCACGTCTCCAAATGCCGCAGCACGTAGCGAGGTGTTGGAACAGGAGCTGTTGCAACGTTTCTTCTCGTCACAGCGAAGCAGCAATTGAGCCTGACGAGTGAGTAGCTAGATTGGTTGGATGTTGCGTTGTTATACAATCGCTAGGGGACGACTACGCCTGATAATTAGGTCGTCAATAGGTAGCCCGATGGAGTCACTTTTGCGTTTGTCTTCTCCTCATGCCTGGAGCCAGGCATGTGTGAATTCAAGCCACTACAAAGTGTACACGTGTACTTGTAGAATACAGTCCCGGGCTGTGGCCTTCCAGCAGATTGGCGTGATTTCTCCTTCAATTGGAATGACGAAACATTGAAGCAAACCCACTGTTTCCGGGCTCCTGTGTAGACCTACCTTGATGGTACGTTTTCTCATGACGACGATTGATCATCTTCAAATGTCACTTGCATGGACCGAATTTCGGAAGTCAAAAACCACGTGCGCAGGCTTTCGTCTGGAATGTCCATGACAGCATTGCACATGCCAAAGAGCCAGGAGGAATGTCCCACAATAGCGATTTCTGTTTGTGGCAGCGTCCGGACATGGTCGACCAAAAATTCGTAGGCACGTTGCGTGGTTTCGAGGGGCGTTTCCAATCGATCCGGCATGAATAGGGTATCTTCATTATCGACACAAAGTGAAAAATCAATATCCGGGTACATTTTTTGAATTTCCGCAATGGTCCGTCGTTGATTGCATATGAGTAATCCCAAGTCTTCGCGACACTGCTCGTGTGCTACCCATGGCACTTTGTTGTTGTTGTTGTTGTGCCGATGCGCACTCCAGGAAAGTTCTGCCGATTGAATGGCTCGTAGGAGTGGTGATACAATCACGAGTTCGGGGTTTAACAGCGAAGCGTCATCCCGGCATTTCAAGCACTGTTGCCGACCCAGTTCGGTCAAGGGCGAATCCATCACGTCCAGTCGGAGCAATGGATTTTGGGCAGGATCTGTGTTTTCTAGATCCACTGGAATCCCCGTGAGCTCTCTCCAAAGGGCACAAATGGTATTGTGGAATCCTTGACCGTGACGTTGGAAATGGAGAATCTTGGTTGTAGTGCTCTTTGTGTTAGCGCCATTTTTCGAATCTTTCTTCTTCAAGAGTTGGTCGGGTCTTTCAATGGGTTCTCCAATGATCCGGACAGGACGGTCAACACCAATAACGCCTTCGTCCTGTAGTTTCTGACGAACACTGATGGTCAATTCTTCGGCTGTTTGAATGTTCATGGCAGACCACTTTCCCGATGCTTGTTGCTTAGCAAACAAGTTGGACGCTTTCGTGGACATGCTCTTGGTGGCACTGTTGCTGAGGGACACGGCAGAATCAGGCAGTAACAAGGACACCATGGGCAAGAACAGTCGACGGTTCATCGTGGGGAAGATTGAAACCCCGAGCATGCGGCAAGTTGCTGTGACTGTTGGTGTTGTTATGATGCCGTTGTTGGTGCTCCCTGTCCGAATAACCCCCTTATATAATATATTATTTGGTTGTGAGCATTCGTCAGTCAGCTGAAAAAGTCAAAAACCACGTCACTCATTTTTCCATTTTTACATGATACTGGTACATTGAATCGAATCATTCGGCACCTTTCATTCGGAAGACGGTATCCATGATTGAGCCCTCGGATTTTTCCCTCTTTGCCGTTGAGAAGGGAGGGAAGCTGGCGATCGACGACCTGACAAAGAAAGCGAGGAAAGCACTGCCATTGTGACTATTTTATAAAATAAGGTTTGCAGAGAAAACCCACATACCGGTACACCATACCAAGATGAGAGTGAAGCAACAGCTGCTACTGCTTCAGGTAGCCCTTGTGGCATGCTTGACCATGGGGAGCAAGCTCCCTCCACGGAAGCTGAGTAGTAGTTCCACAAAGTCCATGATGTCCTCCAAAAGCATGGGAATGTCAAAGTCCATGATGAGCAAGTCCATGATGAGCAAGAGCATGATGAGCAAAAGCATGATGAGCAAGAGCATAATGTCTTCCAAAAGCATGAGGAGCAAAAGCATGATGAGCAAGATGAGCAAAAGCATGATGAGCAAAAGCATAATGTCCTCCAAAAGCATGAAGAGCAAGTCCATGATGTCTTCCAAGAGTATGATGAGCAAGTCCATGATGTCTTCGAAGAGCAAGATGTCTTCCAAGAGTATGATGTCTTCGACGAGCATGATGAGCAAAAGCACGACGAGTTCGTCCCAGAAGTCACCACGGACCACCAAGGCATCCAAAGAAAAGAGCCGATCGAAACGACCTAGCCGAACGTCGCGGTTATCACATCCGCAAGAGGAAAAAGTAGAGGAAGCACTGCAACAACAACAACAAGCAATTGGTGAGGCAAGTAGCACGCTAGAGACAATGACGGAAATTCGTCTCGAAACAGAAGCCAAGGAAGAAGCTTCGGGAGAGGAAGAATCTCAATAGATGATTTTAAAATGACCCTGCCACGGCGGCAGCAAGGCTCAGAAGCCAGTTCGGTGGACGCCAGGTTGATCAAAACCTGTGCTCCAGCAAATGGGTATATTCGCACATATTCGTATCTTGCTACTCTTTTTCTTGTCATCCAAAGATGCAAGTCTTGCTTCTATTATACTATACGTAACAAAGCGTTATGTTTTCGGCCACGAATGCGAGTCAGTAGAACAACACTTGTAAAAAACCTGCTGTTTGCGATCGTGGTACCACATCGCGATCCTGACACGACCCGCTATACCAGTGGTGTTGACTAATAGATGATAAGTTACGGGGGCTGAATTCGGCTCTTCCCAAACTTTGGCTAACGTCTCAGCAGCCACAGCTTACGCGTCATTCGGTAGCCCAGCCAGACAACTTTCTATGCTTGGAGATCTTCGATACGATCCGTACCCGGTTCCTCCAACCATGTTTTCGTTGGGGGATCTGGGAGGACCGATACCAAAGAACGACCGCAATTAATTTTGTCGAGTGCGCAATTGAAAGCCAAGAAGCGGTGCAGTCTCGGCCCAAAGGATCCATCCGCAAGACAGATAACTGATCACTGCCTTCCTTGGGTAGCATATCGATATAAAAGTAGCCCTCGCACCTGTGCTGTGCTGCTTTTCAAGCAAAACGGCTGTATATCCTGCAAGGATCCATCCACTTTCCTCGTTCTTAATTAAGCAGAGCCAAGTTCATCTATTCGTTTCAGAATAGTATCCTTTTGCAGAAGAAATTCCCTCTCTTCTTCCTCCAGGGAATCCCATTGGTCTTGTTCGTCCACAAAGGAATCCAGCTGTGCCTTGTTCCGCTCTTCCAAGGCTTCAATCAGCGCAAGTTGGTTCTGTAATTCGTCCATTTCGTCTTCTTTGGAAGGATCCGCCGCCATGAACAAGGACACCACAAGAGATCGGCGTCTTCCCCACTCGGTTGCCAACAAGTTCAACCTCATTGGTTCCGTTTGACAACGAGCTACAATACGCTTTGGAGCATCAGTCGTCAAAGCCGACAGGCCAGAAAACATCGACCATGTTACGAGCAGCAATAACCACACCGCCATTCTGGTATTCTCATTCTGCGTTTATCTCTTTTGCTCCGGTATCAAAAAGGACGATCCTTTGAGAAAGCATGGGCACCTGGCAAAGATACCCCAGAGCCTGGCAGAAGCCGCATCATGAATCTGGTCGAGACGTCGAGCCCAGAAATTGTGAGGCGAAAAGATCCTGAACCTGGCATTATTTGCGAGAAAAAGATCTTTGGCACAGCTCTAGTTACGGAACCTGAAACATTGTCGCAGCGCGTTAACAAAGTCCAATTTATTGCTAAGTATCCAAAAAGATGGATCAGTCTTCTAATTCTCCGGTAATCACTTTGGTACCATTTCGTGCTTCGACGCAAACACCTGGTGTTCAGCCGCTTCATGAAGATCCATCGCATCGCATGCTGCAACCACTACTGTACCGCACCGTACCTATCAACCCATCCCGCAACGAGAATCTCTCTCTCTCTCTTTGTCCTCGACGAAACAAGCAGATAATATGACAAGACAGCCTTTACTACAGTATAGTGTCTCATCAACCATCGGCTGTTGTGGACGCGATAAACTGAATAGTAACATAGCAAACACAAGTCGATTTTGTGTTTCGAAGACAAGAAGAAGAGTTAGTTGAACAAGCCGCGAGGTTGCTTGCAGCTGACTTTTGTGATAGCTATTGAAGCAAAAAACGAAAACGAAAAAGAAGATGATGTCGAGTGACAAGGAAGAAAGTGATACCGAGATCGAACCCGATATGGGTGATCCTGGTGATGATGTCGGCGGCGATGTCGACGAGGATGATGTTCGTGCCGGTGAGGATGCCGGTGGCGACGACGACGATGGCGACGAAGGCGTCGATGTTTTTGAGGATGAGGATGGTTTCGAGGACTCGGCCGACAAGAAGGATGAAGATAGCAACAAGCTTCTCAAGATTATCTTGTTGGTGGTGGGTGTGGCGCTTCTCGCGTCACTCATTACTGGAATCATTGTCCACTTTGTGGATAAGAAGAATGTTCAGCACATGCCCTCGCATGACAAGGCTGATTGCAGCGACGATGTTGGAGGAAAGGAAACCAAGGCGGGTCAGGTGGACTTGACCTTTGAGGATTTGCCGGAAGAAAAGCTCGAGCAGCAGCAGCGTGCTGTCGAGATCTTGTTCAAGGATTCGTACAACGAGTTGTCCGGTGGTTGTGATGGTCCCTTTGAGCGTGTTCTTCGTAATGTGACGTTGGAGGGAGTTGAGACAAAAGAAGATGGATCTGTTGAGACGACCTTTATGGGTGTTGTCGGATGTAATGGATGTCCTAACGATCAACCCATGTTCTCCCTTGCGGGGCACGAGTCGAAGCGTCGCAAGTTGTACTTGTGGGATGTTCCCTTTGATTTGGATGATTTCAAGGAAAGATTCAGTGGAAAACTTGGAGACCTCATGGGCCAGCCTGTGAAGATCACCAAGGCCGAGGAAATTCCCAACGAAAATGGTGCTATCGCTCCCAGGACTATTGGAAAGCGTGCCGCGGATGGTGATGTCAAGAAGAGGGCTTTTGGTGGCGACGACAAGAAAGGTGCTGACAGTGAACGTAAGCAATTCTTCTGGATGCCCTCCAAGGACCGTCGCAACTTCTTCTGGGTGCCTGAAGACAATCAGATGCCCAACAAGGGTACTAGTCTTGATTTGGGCGAGGATGAAAGAGAGCAGTTCTTTTGGATTCCCAAAGACAACAGGAACCAGTTCTTTTGGATCCCTGAAGACAGCCGTAACCAGTTCTTTTGGATTCCTGAGCCTCGTGACCAGTTTTTCTGGATTCCCCAAGAAAGCGAATCACCCAGCACTGTCCCATCATTCTTTCCAACAAAGCTCCCAACCATTTCACCCACTACCAAATTTCCGACTGCTTTTCCTACGAGCGCCGAGCCCAGCATGGAACCTACTGTCTCAAGTGAAGAGCCTACCACGAGTATGGCGCCATCCGTTAGTTTGGCGCCTTCTGTCAGTCTTGAGCCTTCGCTTAGTTTGCCACCTTCCGAGATGCCAAGCTTTAAGCCTGTATCCCGTATTACTCCGTTCCATTTCCCTGAAGAACCACCCTCGGCCCCACCCACTGGTGAATATACAGCCAATGCTACGATCACCATGAGCCCTACCACGTTGCCCACTACACCCCCCACAACGCTTCCTACCACGCCTCCCACGATGACCCCAACTGTGTCCCCAACCACGCTCCCCACTATTGTTCCCACAGTGTTGCCCACGGTCTTGCCCACAGTTATGCCAACCGCCAGTCCTACTGTGTCAACACCAGAGCCCAGCACAAAGTCACCCACCAAAGTACCCTCTGCTCATTGGTCAAACAGCCTTGTTCTTCCACCCAGACCTGAAGAGTGTGAAAGCACCATTGATCCCGTCACGGGTGCTCCCTCCTGCGCACCCATTGGACCCCGTCCATCTGCGGAACCTCAGCGTCCAACAAGTCGTGTGAGTCCGTTCAACATACCATTTGGACCTGGTAATGGTCGCGAGCCTGGTGGTCCTGGAGGTGGTCCTGGAGGTGGTCCTGGAGGTGGTCCTGGTGGCGGTCCTGGTGGCGGTCCTGGTGGTGGTCCATCAGAGCCCAGTGGCCCCTCTGAACCTAGTGGCCCCTCGGAACCCGGTGGCCCTTCAGAAGAGACTCCAACGGCGCCCGGACAGCCCTCAGAGATACCTGCTCTTGCTACAAAGATGCCAACTAAGGAGCCTCAAACACAATCACCAAGTTCAACACCACTCATCACAGAGGTACCAACCAAACTGACACCTGAAACCAACCAAAGCAACACCTGAGCCAACCAAAGCAACACCTGAACCAACCAAAGCAACACCTGAGCCAACCAAAGCAACACTGAACCAACCAAAGCAACACCTGAGCCAACAAAGCAACACTAAACCAAAGCAACACCTGAACCCAACCAAAGCAACACCTGAACCAACCAACACCTCCAACCCTCCAAGACTGACTCCCCCACGTCAAACCTACCGAAGAAGCACAACTCACAAAGCCAACTGAAAAAGCCCGAAAAGCCTGAACGAAAACAACAGAAAAGCACACCAACAGAAAACACCCAACGGAAACAAAGAAAGCCAAACATGAAAACCAACAGAAAGCCAACAGAAAAGCCACCGACCCGAACCAAAGCTCACCACAAGCCAACCGACAACCTAA